CAGAAGCTGCATTCCCCGCAGCGAGGAGTGCAAAGAGGGATGACTTTGTCTCCTGGAACAATGCACATGCCACTTTAGGTGCTTCTTGCTCATCAGACCCTTGGGGTGCTCCTGCTGGGAGCTGAATCTCGGGTGTGTATTTGTGACTGTTGTTGGTGTTACCTGGTTTCACAGAGGTCACTCCTTCTCCAATGCTTTCCACGATCCCAGCTCCTTCGTGGCCTGGGATAACTGGGAAATCCACATTGGGAAAGCGACCTTGTAAAAGATTTTCATCTGTGCCACAGATGCCAGAAGCCACTATCTGTTTGGAGAGAAAAGAATAGATCATCTGGCCTCTGTAACTCAGTTTGTGGAAGTAATTTTCATAGCACTATTACAATTCCCAATACAATTGATGCTGTCACCCTGTGCCGGGACATTCCCCTTCTGTTGACGTGGAATGCTTCATGTGGCTTTCCTCTGCACTGTGCTGTAGGGGCTGGGGGTCAATTTGTGGAGTGTCTCTGGCTCTCAGTTTTGGGAATGGAAGATCCTAGGTGTTGGTGTCTGAAGCAGCCTGGCATAACTTAGCGGGGAGAGCAAAGTGTTGTGCTGTGTGCAGGTGTGTCATAGAGACTGGTAATCCAGTGAAGACTGTCCTTTTCTGATGACCTGAACAGGGTTGGTGCCAAGAGCCACGGGAGGTGTTTGGGATGGGTAATTCAAGGGCATTACATGGCCATGGATGTGTTGGAGCAGCCAACTCATTGCCTTAGAGCCCTGCAGTGTGCAGTCCTGGGCTTTTATCTACAAGCTCGCATCTCTCAGCTGAAAGCCCATTTTTTTCTAAGAGAAATCCTAAATTCTGTGTGTTGAATAAAACCTGTTTTTCTTGTTATCCAGGATCTAGTGTCAGTGCTGGAGGATGATGTTCTCTAGAATGTACCACTGCCTTAACTTTGATGGCATAGTGAAATTTACAGCTGAACTGTGTGTAAGGTCATGAAGTGTCATAAGCTGTGAATGTTCACATGGAGGCCTTTCTTCATATGATCAGCTGGGGAGAGAAAGAGGGAAAAAAAACCTCTCAGTGGTGTTGAGAGATTGTTACCAGCAGGCATCTTCTGCTGTGGAGCTGGTGTTTATCTATTTGCGTGCTCTAAAGCAGTTTACGCTTTTTGGGAGTATAAGTCTGCTCCCTAAAACACCTACAGTCCAAGAGGTGGCCAGCATGAGTGCTTTGCAGTCCTGAGTGAAGCTGAAGACAAAAATGGATCCTCCGCATTTTGGGTTCAGTTAGCTGGGGGCTGCTACATTTGATCACCCAGTGCTCCCGAGTATCCGAATTATGCCACATGGGAGCCTGATCAGAAGGGGCTCAGGAACAGGACTGCTTGGCACGTTTTTCTTCATGGTTCATTGGTTGTCACTCAGCATCAACTGTGAACGCCTTAAACTGAATTTTTTGTTTTGTTTTGTTCATGTAGCACTTCCTCAGCTCTGCCCCCCACCTCCCTGATTTCTTCTAAGAAAGGCATGGCAAATGTCATCATGATGGAGAAGCCACAGCAAGGCTGCTGCCCATGGTGGGAAGACGCAGGAGCCAAAGGAGACAACAGAACCGGCAGTGCCCTCAGGGGTCAGGACTGAGCTTTGTGCTGGTCACAGGGTTTGTAGACAGCTGTAGGCCAGGCCAGCAATAAACCAGGGGAAGAGCCCATGCAGGAGGTCCAGGCAGAGTGGCAGGAGACAGAGCTGGAAGTGGGAAGGGAGAGGACACCACAGCATGGATCCCAGGGATCTGTCCAGGAGAGAGAGATGGAGATGGGAATTCCTGTGCCACAATTTAGGCAGGGACTAATCTGAAGAGGATATCCTGGCAGATGGTGTATGAGTGGGGGTTATAGCTAAAGGCTGCTCCGGACAATTAAAGCCTAATGATGGACACATCCCTGATAGGCATGTTCACGGGATAACCACAAGAACAGCAGTTTCTACAAGAGTTAAAAATAGGGAAACGTGTTTTTACCTTGATGCGGACTTCACCTGCCTTTGGAGGTGCAACCTCCACCTCCTCCACAGAGAGCGGTTTTCCCGGGGCCCAGGCAACAGCAGCTCTGCACCTGATAACCTGGAGGGAAGAGAGGGGATTAGGCTGTGTGGGCACGTTTGGCTTTGGAGCCGGGTCGGGGAGGGTCGTCCTGCAGCCCCCTGAAACGGAGCTGCAGAAACTCAGCAGTGCTCAGCTGTAGGTGAAGCCAAGTGATGTTTAGTAAACACTGGCCTAGTTTAAGGTCTGAGGAAACACCGTCTGCACTCTGTCACATAGAGAGCTTGAGGTGTGCTTTTAGGAAATTATAGGGGGGTTGATGGCTTTTGTGGATTTTATATAATGGCATCATCTGGGAATGGACAGATTGTGCTCTGATGGGGAGTGTGGACCCTACCTGGTGGCAATGCTTCTCAAGAGCTTTGCTGTTGGTCTTGTAAGTTACTGGGCTGAAGGTACCTCAGAGGGATTAAGAAATGGTCCCCGTCTGGCTGGCAAGCAGATAACTTTTTACCTTGCCAAAGGAATGATTTGGATTATGGCATCTCCCAAGCCCCAAGGCAACCAACCCAAAGCTGTTGGACATCTGCAAAATTGAGCTTGCTTCTTGAAGTGGGTTTTGACAGGAAAAAGGCTGAAGGCGGGAGGCGAGCGGCCGCCAGAGAGGGCAGGAGCCCGGGGGGCTGAGCAGAGCGGGGTTTCAGAGCAGCACGGTTTCCTTTCCCGGGCTGCGGGGCGGAGCAGGAGAGGGGAGCACTGGCCGAGGCAGGTCCCGACACGCGGACACGCACGACAGCAGAGGCGTGCGACGCCGGAAAGGG